ACGGAAACTGGGTTTCAGGGCCAAATACAACAACAGACCATGATCCGAGAGTAGCACCAGTAGCTACTCTCTTATCTCTTAAATTCCAGGCGCCATCTTTTGGCGCGAAAATAGCATCACGAGATGATGGGTGGTACTCAATTCTAGGAGGGGGTAAAATTCTGGCTGGAACCTATTATAATTACAATTAATAAATATATGTAATGATAATAATGAATATATAAATATAAATATACAATATAAAATATATATATAACTTACTAACGCCATTTCATCAGAAACTTGCATGCCAAACTGTTGCAAATATTCGTTCCTTCGGTAATCAAGGATATTGAGACCCTGCCTTATTTTATTAGCACGAACATTTGGATTTTGGCACGTAAATTTAATCATGTCTGCAGTTTGTCTTTCATTAAGTTTTCTTATGTGACGTTGCCCCTATTAATTACGAGATGATATTAAAATCAGCATCAACAAAAGTACATATATATATATATATATATATATATAACTGATACATACTTCTATAATCTCACAAACTTCCATAGGAAAGAAAACATCCTTTCTCACAACAACACAGGGAAGAAAAGGGAAGTTTAATCGTTTCCGATATTGTTGTTGAAAGTAAGTAGCGACATCTTGTGTAGTTCCTTCGATGTCAAATCGTGTATGTGATGCTGGCGTATTTGTAAGCTTCATAATTTTGTATTTTCGCCTTGATGCAGGAGCATCACCACGATGAATGACACGAATTTTAAGGTTTTTTATTGCTCTTTCTACTGTTTGTCGATCTCTTTCTTGTAATCCCCTACGAAGATCATCAGGAGATCTACAACCCATTATTGACACTACAACATCTACAAGATTACCACTCCTGTAAAAAGCTGTAGCACTCAAGTCGACGTTGATCATCATTTTTCCTGAAGAATAAACAAGTGAGAAATAAATGATAAAATAATTTCAAACACAAAGAGATGTAACGAGAAATCAATTTAAACTAACTCATTGTTGCACGCGCGGATTGATAATAACCCTGCCAGATTTCGGCACCACCAGAAATTTGCATGGCACCGGCAGAAGTATAGAAAGAACGACCAACAGTTTCATGTTGTAGTGATGGTTTGTAACGTATGAGAACATCAAGGGCGGTATAAGCTATATCAAAGTTTAAACAAATGCGAGTGAATCACC